GTGTGGGGTCCTCCATGGGCTGCAGGTGGATATCTGCTCCACTGTTAACCTCCATGGGCTGCAGGGGGACAGCCTGCCTCACCATGGTCTGCACCACGGGCTGCAGGGGAATCTCTGCTCCAGTGCCTGGAGCACCTCCTCCCCCTCCTTCTTCACTGCCCTTGGTTTCTGCAGAGTTGTTCCTCTCACATATTCTCACTCCTCTCTTTGGCTGCAGTAGCGCAGTTTTTTTCCTGCTTCTTGAATATGTTATCACAGAAGCGCTACCACCGTCACTGATGGGCTTTGCCTTGGCCAGCAGCGGGTCCATCTTGGAACCGGCTGGCATTGGCTCCGTTGGACATAGGGGAAGCTTCTAGCAGCTTCTCACAGAAGCCACCCCTGTAGCCCCCCCCTGCTGCCAAAACCTTGCCATGCAAACCCAATACATTACCCAACACAGCAACCCAGCTAATAATCAGACAGGATCTTCAGACTCCTAATTGAGCATACTTGTTAATGTCAAAGGCACATGCAGGCTGCTTCATGTCCTCCCAACCTCCTCTGCTCTATCCTGTTTCTTCAAGGAAGTGTTTGTCTGGAAGATTAGTGAAAAGCCAGCAGGAACCTGGGCTTGGTTAAAGCTGTCTCTCCCCTAGCCATACCAGCCCTGCTGGTATTGCTAATGATTGCCTGTTGGTTATAACAAAACTTTGGCCTGTACTCGCAGTGTGCTTAGTCACCCATAACCATTTCATGGGAAGGGGGATGACAAACCAGGAGTGTGAGTATTTCACTGGGTGCAATGGTAGAACAGCCAAGTGAAATGAAAGCTAAACAACTTATTTCAAATACTTGCAAATGCCATGTAAAGAGCATCGTTGGAGCTCTGCTGTTATACTGCTGTTTTACTGCCAGTAATCAGTGATTTCTCTGATGTAGCTGGAGAGCAGCCTTGTTTCGTTCTGGCTTCCCCATCTCCAAGTCTCTGTCCTTCACCTTGTATCTATCTCTGCTGTATTAGCTTTTCATTGATCATCCAACAGCAAACTCACCAGACACGAAATAACCAGTGGCTGGAAATCACAGTCTTCTGTTTTTTTGTTTGTTCTTGTATGTCCCATTTTCTCTGTATTTGACAGGAGTGCCTGTTAACCTTTTCTCATTCTTCTGGTGCCCAAGAGTTGCCCAGAATTAGGCAGTTCTGTAGGGTCAGCATCGACTTTCCATCAAGCTGTGTTGCCATCCTGGAAGTTCATTGCATGTACTGGAATGCTGCAGGCAGCACAGGCAGTCACAGACATGGAAACCCTTTTCATAGCCAGCACCAGAAACTGCCAAGTGCTGAGGACAAGCTATGCCTATCCCCTCTGGTGGGACCATGCCCTCAATGTCTCAAGCTAAGCAGCAGCCTTGAGGCTGGGGGAGACATGTGGGAACACAGGTCTCATCTAAGTCCAACGGGGAATACTTGACTACCATATCAGAGAATCTGGAATGACTCAGAAGGAAAGAGCATCTTAGCTGTTCATTCCCTGAGAATTGCCCAGGTGCATAGTTGCCAGGTTTCACACAAAGGTTAGCACAGTTGGGTCAGTGGAGGGTTGTGATCTTAGGATTCATGCTCATGTGGGTGTAGCATCAGCCAGTATGGGGCAGACACTAAAGAAAAATGCCATTTACTTATCAAGGCTAGGTTGTGGTTCCTTCTCTCACTTTGTCTTTACTGTGCTGGTTATGTGTCTGATTGCAGATTCTATGAGAACTACTTTAATTCGTGAAATTACAGGGTTTTGTTAAAATGTTGGACCCTGAAAGTAACATGTTCAGAAGTGCCTAAATCAATCACATTTCTAAAAGAACTCAGGTACTTAGAGTTTGGGAACCTGGCCTTCAAACAAACATCTGAGGGCAAAAACCAGATGAGCTGGAAACCAGGGAAGGAGCTCACTACCTAGAAATGGGGTTCACAAACTCCACCTGCTACACCAGGAGGAAGCATCACACAGAACAGGCACTGAAAACCTCCTTCTCCCATTCTGATGGACCTGATGTTTGGTGTGCAAGGCTGGAATTTATAGCCCAGAATTACTGCAAGAGATTGGTACCCAAAATCTCCCTTGGGTGATGGTGGAAGCAGCAGTAGTTCAAAATACTTGTAAGGCTCAGATACTAGGTTTCCTTGCCTCAAAGCCTGATGTGACTCATGCACATCTCCACCACCTTCCAGGAGCTTGTCCTAACACACCAGGGCTCAGTAGGCCTCGCATTCCCCCTGGAAGCCGTTGCATTTTGGCCACCAAGGACTCAGGATTCATAGCATCCAAAAGGGTGATGAACTGTTGATTCATGCTTGAGAAATCTGGCTGTGGACACAGGCATGGATGTTCCTACCACACTTACATTGCATTGGGATTGTTCACTCCAAGCCACTAAGTAAGTGAAAGAAGGGGTTAAATAGGAAATCTCATATCGTTCAGACCCACACATTGCAATAGGACTCAGTAATAGCATAGAAATAGTCATGGAGAGACCTACTAGAGGAAAAAGGCACTTAACGAAAGTCCAGATTCATCAGCTGAATGAGTAATCTGAGTTGGAGAAGAGCATTAGTGTTTGTACCGAGCAGTCTATAGAAAGCAGAGAGTGCCAGTCCATTTCAAAGGCTTAGGCAGGCCTTAACTCCTTTGACAGAAAATGAAACCTGTAACCTTGTTTCTGGGTCAGGTGCCTTTTGTGAATTATACAGCCTCTTAAAGCATTGGTAGCTTGTCTCAGCTTTGTGTATTTGTGGTCAGCGCTGGAGCTTCTGGTGTAGATGGGTGGAAGTTGGGTTGTATTTAGGGTTGTAAACATTTGCCTCCATAAAACCCTGCTTTATCCCTCTGTGTCTGAATAGCAAAATTCACGTGGCCTGCAAAATACCAGCCTTTTATTCCGGAGACAGAGATAACATTTGCAAGTTCCAGTCCTGAGAAATTACTCTGATTTAAGGTTTTGACTTCAATCATGTATCAGTCTCTTTGTTGCTGATGCCGGAGAGAGTTATTAATCCGATCCTTTTCCTGCCAAGTTCAATGAGCATTTTTTCATCTCTGCTGTCAGCAAGAGCAGGGCTGGGCATGGTTTGTAGGAGTATGTACTCTTCCCTGCAGGTTCCTCAGCCACACTTATCATCATGATCTCTAGGCACCTCTGCTCCTTATTTGTCCCTCAAAAAAGGCAGCCTTGGACATGTGTCCCCCAGCTCTTACCTGTGTGGAAGGGACAGAGTTGGCCCACGTTGCACTTGTACACCCTGGTAGGCGTGCCACTTTTCCATGACAAGTGGGAAAAGGTGCTTTTCTCTCCAAGTGGAATAAAACCTGCAAGGGAAAAAATATATCAGCACATTTCACACACCGCAGGGGAAGCAAAAGCAAAACAAATTCATTATTCAAGTCCCCAGCCAGCAGTCTGGTAAACCCCTATTGTTCAGGAGTGCCACAGAAATAGTTCCCAACATTTTCTCACACTCTGGAGAACGTTTTTAACCGGTCCCTTTCCTGCCTTGCTGGCCCCACGCTCAGCTTTTTTTTTCGTTGCAGGATGAGATTGGGGCAGTTAGCTCAACTTTTGCAGCTAACTGCTAACTCAACCCAACTGATCTCCCACAAGAAACAAGGAAGGACTTTGAATCAGAAAACTGAGTCAAATAGGACTTTGACTATATGAAAGCCCATCATCCATGGGCTCCTATCCCTGCTGGAGGCAGGGCCATATTAATACAGCACAGACATTGCATACCTGTAGAAGGCTTAGCTTTAGGACCTGAATTCTAGTTGTGATCCTGTGGTGAGAAGTTATTAACAGAAATAGTCTCTCCTGAAGGAGAAGCTAATTTAAATCCCCTCTTGCACTGAATACATAAAGCTTGAAGTATTGTCCGTGTTTTAAGGTATGTTTCAGCAGCGAGTAGAACATGCTCTGAAAATTTAAGCAAACAATATGCTGTTTAAAAATACAGCTGTAAAATGTTTCACTTTTTTTTTTAAATAAAGAAAGCAAGCTCTCAAGAATCAATGTGAGACAAAAGAGACAGACACATGGGGGACATCAGAGATTGCCAGGAGGAGAAGCAGGGAAGGCAGCAACACTTTCTGCTGTAGGGTCTGTTAGTCTGGTGAGTTGCCGTCTAGGGAAGCAGTAATAACTCAGGCCTGGTGTCAAGCTAGGCTGGACTAACACTAAATGGTGGTGCTGCTTTGATGGAGACGCTTTCCTATCCCCCCTGAGCCTCTCAGTGGCAGCCTCAATAGGAGGAGAAAAGGTAGAAGGATAAATTCCCTTGCCCGGCACAAAGCACAGTCTTAGGGTCCATGCAGCAGCTGGGTGCAGATAGAGACAAGGTCTCTGCCCTTTCTCTGCCTCAGCTGGGTGTCATGCAGAAGCTCCGGGACCATCTTAGTGTGGCATTGTCAACAAGCTGCTGTGAGTCAAGGTACAATAGTTTTAGCCCCTGGTGACCGTGAAGGCAGTTGGACACAGCTCATCTGGCCTTTGCAGTGTTCCTCCTTGGGAGACGGAGAGCTCATGTCCTTTGCTATTAATTCTGCTATGCCTTTTGACACTATCAAATCTAAGTTTCTGCAGCTGTGGCCAGCCAGGCTGTTGCCCTAATTTTGCTTTTCCCTTTTGTATCCCATATGCAGAGAAGCAGAGGGAGCTGGCTCGGAAGGGCTCCCTGAAGAACGGCAACATGGGAAGCCCAGTTAATCAGCAGCCCAAGAAGAACAATGTGATGGCACGAACAAGGTAAAGGACTGGAAAAGCACTCAGCTGCACTCTAAGCTGCAGTCCCTCATGGCCTTAGGATGGGCAAGGACAATGTTCATTGCCATTCGCCTACTGCTGAACATGCTGCGAGAGCTCCTTCCCGGAGCTAGCAGGCCCAAATGCTCCATGCTGTGTTGCATCCCATCCCCTGGGGAGGTGCAGGAACAGCTGAGCCCAGGACCAGTGACAGTGCAGCCTGCAGGAGGCAGAGGCAGCCCAGCCTGGTCGAAATCAGGGGTTTGAGACAGCTGTCTTGCATGTTTTGGGTAGCCTCATGTAACACATAATCCTGCCAGCAGGAGAGGTACGATGCTGCTTCATGTAACGCAAACTGGTTTAGAGCTTAGTTCTGCCTTGGCTGCTTTTATCGCAGTAGTTACCCTTCTCCTTTTTGATGATGACCCCTTCCCCATACTGATTGACTTAATGAAGGCTTGTAAATAATCCATCTCTATATGCTTTGCTATATACCTCCTCCGCACTTTGAACAGCATGGTCATACTTTGCTGGAGCTGCTTTGGCACATCTCTGTATGACAGTATCAGACAGTGCTACAAACTGCTGTAAACAAAGACGTTCCCAGCTGAATACTTTCTTCTAGAGTATTTCTATTTTTTCCATACAAGCTTCAGTACACCAATGTATTACTTACCTGCATTCAGGAGGCAGGAACCCCCCTGAGCCCATGGGATTGCACACTTTGCATGCTACTAGAAAGGTGGCAGTTTTTAGTGGAGGACCTCACTTAAAATGACAGAAGAATCTGCGTGAATGCTGTGTGTTTACTGATGAATGGCAAAGTTGCCTGGATTACCATATATTGAGTAGAACAGGAGCTGCAGGTCAGAGCCTTTCTGTATGCAACATATCCAACAGATGAGGTTCCTTGTTCACATTAATTCCCAAAATGCAAAATAGTAGTCATAAATCACTAATTTTACAGGTAGGCACCTGTACTTATCCCATTTTCTCTCCCCTACCATCTTCCTCCACTAATTTCAGTGTTTCTAAATCTCTCAAGCAGCAAATCTGCTACCATTCTTCTTGGGAAGCTAGCATGCAGCCTATTGCCAAAAGAAACCAGTCTTGCCAGCTTGTATTTGGAAGACAAAGATGAACAGTGGGCGTGGAAAACCCAGCTGAGAGCATTTGCTGAATTTCTTTCTGCATGTTGGTGGAATACACTGCATTGCTCCCTGCTCTGTTTGGTGGTTGAGACCATATAAAGGAGCCAGGCCCTTTGTGGCAGCAAGAAATTCAGCAAATGCTCTCAGCTGGGTTTTCCACGCCCACTGTTCATCTTTGTCTTCCAAATACAAGCTGGCAAGACTGGTTTCTTTTGGCAATAGGCTGCATGCTAGCTTCCCAAGAAGAATGGTAGCAGATTTGCTGCTTGAGAGATTTAGAAACACTGAAATTAGTGGAGGAAGATGGTAGGGGAGAGAAAATGGGATAAGTACAGGTGCCTACCTGTAAAATTAGTGACTTCTGCTTGGAGAGGTTGCTGTTTCCGAGCTGCCGATTGAAAGAAGAGTGATTTGAGTGGGGAAGAGCAGAGCAGTGACACCTACTGACAAAAACTTTCAAACAGCCAGCTCAGTTTTATTCCATTTGAGCACTGTTCAGAGGACGTGTGGACCCCTCCACAGCCAAGCATAGCCTGCTGGTAGTAGACTTGCTTTTCTTAGTTACTTTTCACGCAGCTTTTATAAGCATCCCTTGGGATTTGCAAAACAGAGGTTTGGAGCCAATGCTCTAGTAGCAGATGTAGCCAAGCTCCGTTGTTCCCACGTGGCTGGGAGGTGTCTGGCACAGCGTCTCACCAGCCCAAGTCCCTTCATCCCCCAGCTCCCTTGGCTTTCTGGGAATCAAGCTGCACCACAAGCACAGCCCTAGTAATATCTCGGAGTGGTTCGGTCTGTCTTGCCACAGACAGGGCAATCTGTGCTGGTTTTGGCTGGGATAGAGTTAATTTTCTCCATAGTAGCTAGTATGGGGCTCTGTTTTGGATTTGTGCTGGAAACAGTGATGACAATACAGGAATGTTTTTGTTACTGCTGAGCAGGGCTTCAACAGAGTCAAGGCCTTTTCTGCTTCTCACCCCACCCCACCAGCAAGTAGGCTGGGGGTGCACAAGAAGTTGGGAGGGGACACAGCTGGGACAGCTGACCCAAACTGGCCAAAGGGACATTCCATACCATGTGACGTCATGCTCAGCATATAAAGCTGGGGGAAGAAGAAGGAAGCGGGGGGACGTTTGGAGTGATGGCGTTTGTCTTCCCAAGTAACCATTACGCGTGATGGAGCCCTGCTTTCCTGGAGATGGCTGAACACCTACCTGCCGATGGGAAGCAGTGAATGAATTCCTTGTTTTGCTTTGCTTGTGTGCACGGCTTTTGCTTTACTTATTAAACTGTCTTTATCTCAACCCAGGAGTTTTCTCACTTTTACCCTTCTGATTCTCTCCCCCATCCCACTGCGGGGGGAGTGAGTGAGCAGCTGGGTGGTGCTTCGTTGCTGGCTGGAGTTAAACCACAACACAACCCCAGGAAGGCAGAAATGCCACAAGCTTGTTCAAGCAGCTTCTTTTCACAGTATAACAGTTGCAGTATAATGGGAGATACTCCAGTGGGATACACTGCAAAACGTCCAGGTTATGGTTTAAGTCTGAACTGTTGGCTTCCTCTGGTCTCTGCAGGAGGAGAATAAGCTAAAGCCATTTCCCCCCTTTTAACAGTTCTGCTGTTCTCATCAAATATGTTTTCCTTCTTTCAGGCAAACCACATTGCCTCTCCTAGTCTCTACTCCACCTCCTCCTCCTCCTTCCCCAAGGTTTCTGTTCTTCTGTATTTTCTGTATGAATTTCTGACATCCAGCCTCTAGTACCAGGTTGCCTTCACCGTTCGGTCTTCTCCTGGGGCAGGGGCACAGCCAGCCCTAGAGGTGAAAGGATCTGGATCAGTAAACAAGCTCAGTCTCCCTAAGACCAAATAAAATGTGAACGAGGTTGGGATGATGCTGTCACACTTGCTACAAGCACAGGCAGAGCCCACAACACCATCCGCACCACTTGGACACAGCCAGATATTGCAGTCCACTCTGAGGATTACCTCAACTCGGATTTGTGTCAAAACATATTTCATGTTAAGTGAGCAAAAACAGCAAGACAAGAAGCTCATACTGGGACAGCTGCAGACAAAAGCAGCTACGACTGCTACCCGGCTTTGCTCCAAGGACAGTGGGAAGCAAAAATAAGGACCATCAGGATGTGAGGGAAAGACTTAGAACAGGGGCAGAGATATTATCACAGTTTTTGTCTGTTGCAGAAAAACTGAAGTTCTGTGTTATTAAGAAAAAAGATACTTCTCAAGAAAAAGATGTAGTGATTTTTTCACCACAAAGGGTTCTTCTCCTAGATCCCCTGATAGTGCTTTGTTCACTCATGATACAGTAACAACCATCACTGAGTATATATGGAGCAATTCTGGAGAACTACAGGCCTGCCAGTCTGACCTTGGTGCCGGGGAAGGTTATGGAGCAGATCATCTTGAGTGCCATCACACGGCACATACAGGGCAACCAGGTGACCAGGCCCAGTCAGCATGGGTTTATGAAAGGCAGGTCCTGCTTGACTAACCTGATCTCCTTCTATAACAAGGTGACCCGCTTAGTGGATGGGGGAAAGGCTGTGGATGTGGTCTGCCGAGGCTTTGGTAAAGCCTTTGACACCGTTTCCCACAGCATTCTGGAGAAAGTGGCTGCTCGTGGCTTGGAGGGGTGTAGTCTTTGCTGGGTAAAAAAATGGCTGGACGGCCAGGCCCAAAGAGTTGTGGTGAATGGAGTTAAATCCAGTTGG